CCATGAGTCATGCCTACAAAAGTCTTTAGTTCACAATGTACTTTGCAGTGTGTAGTAACTTCTCATGGCAGTCCTGTGAAGTGGGTAATCAAATTTTCCTATTAGAGATGTGAAAATACAGACATTCAGGAGCTCACTGAAGCAGTAGACTGGAATTTGTACTCAGGAATATATGACTCTAACTAACATGGACAGTGAGTTACAGCTAACAAAAATTGTGAAATCCTCAAACTTGTCCATGTTGAAAAAGGGATTCTCATCATTTTAAATGATGTTTATTATTTAAATTCTTTCTCTTCTTTTACTTTTGGTAATAACAAATTCTTTAAAAGGCAGCAATTTGAGTGTGAAACAAAACAACACACACAACTCCCTTCCGTGTGTGTGTGTGTGTGTGTGTGTGTGTGTGTGTGGTACATACATACACACGGCCACTCTGAAACTCTTTCATGGCTGCATCTCCTCTGAGGCAGGTAAGAAAGAAGAAAAATGAGAGAAGAATCTGTGTTCTGACATAAAGCCCCTAGCATTTCCTATTGTAGCACAGAAATACATTATTGAACTTTCTCCTCTTGGCTGGCTGCAAATGCAATGTGTTATTTGTTATTATTCTTAATTCTCCAAGAAATACAAGAGATGCCCTTCACTAACTAATAATGAACTATCTGTGTCTATTGAGGGAAGTAGTTGTCATTAAATTTTTTTAAAGGTAAAAACAAATTAACGAAGAAAATAAATGCTTTTATCTAGCTAGAATGTCCACCTCTAAAGTAGACATGGATTCTGAGGGGAAACCACTCCACGTAGGCCTTGCTCCTGCTGCTCCATGGAACAGCTCTTAACTTCTGTAGCCACCAGTCAAAATGGTTGGCTCACCCTTCAAAATACATGCAAATCTGGTGGTCTCTCAATACCTCCAGGAAGACCTCTTTGGTCGTTATGAGTCAGAACCGACTTGACGGCGCTTAACAACAACCTACTTTTTGTATTTCTATCTTTGACCCACTACAGTCTATTCTTAACACGGCAATCAGAGTAATCCTTTCAAAATCTAAGATCTATTTAGTTCCCTAGAGTAGCAACAATTGTGAGGATGGTGCAAGACCAGACAATGTTTCATTCTGTTGTTCAGAGTCACTAAGAGTAGGCACTTACTCGATGGCACCTAACAAGTGCTCTAGACAGTTTGTTTCTGTTGTTAAAAATAGTAAGGCACTTTTATTTGTTTTTAAAGTAATATCTTATAGGAAATATGCTCCAAAGACAAAGTAGATAAAAGAGGACAGAATTGACAATAGGCAAAGATTCAAATTCCCTGCCAAATCAGTGTTGCCTTCCTCAAGCTTCCAAGGCACTTTGTAGAATGTAAAGGGTTTGAAAAACCATTGCTCTGGTTCAGCTAGTAAAGCTGTTTTGGTTTTCTTTCAAACATCTAAAAATAGCATTCTTTAAAGGAGTTATTGTTGTTGTTGTTAAGTACTATGGAGTCGGTTCCGACTCATAGTGACCCCACGCAGGGTTTCCGAGGCTGTAAATCTTTACGGGAGCAGAAAGCCTCAACTTTCTCCCACGGAACAACTGGTAGTTTTGAACTGCCGACATTGAAGTTAGCAGCCCAATTCATAACCGCTATGCTACCAGAACTCCTTAAAGGAGATATTGTTGTTGTTATGTGCCGTGGAGTCGGTTCCAACTCATAGCGACCCTGTACAGATTTCTAAGGCTGTAAATCTCTACGGGAGCAGAAAGCCTCATCTTTCTCCCGCGGAACAGCTGGTTATTTTGAACTGCTGACCTTAAGGTTAGCAGCCCGATTCGTAACCACTACGCTACCAGAGCTCCTAAAGGAGTTATTAGGGCTCATGTAGAGTTGGTTTCAGTCTAATAACCTCTTGGGTTTGCTCTAGAAACTTGTGTCTTATAGACAAAGTGTCCTGTTAAAAACCTTGGAAGAAACAGTCATTGGCAGCAAACAACAATGAGGTCTCAATCAACAATACCACCTTTTCTCTGGGGCTGCTTTATGAAGCTTTTACAGAGGTATTGTTCTAACGGCTTCTTCTTGTTCAAACTCAGTTTTCCTGCATTAGCAGAGCAACAAATACCTTTTTCATACAATATTTTCCTCCAATTATAAAGTTAATGCTAGGAACTATCTACTACTTATTCAGTGGCAAGATAACAAAATTTTCTTAGTTGGGAACTAAATGTATGTATTTTTTGAGAGAGAAAGAGTGTAATAAGAGGAACAGAAAGACATAAGGAATGTGAGGCTTCTCTAAAATAGCTTAAACACTGTGGATCTTCAGGAAATGTTACTTTGATTGGACTCCATGGACTTGATTCGACAACCTATTTATCACTACTATGTCCCAACTGATGCTTTTGAGTTATGGTGCTGGAGGAGAATATTTAAAGTGCCATAGGCTGCCAAAAGAAGCAATAGATCCCTTTTGG